ACTCAATTCTCAAATTTTCATGACCCTGAGGAAATAGGAAAATATTTTAGTTTTAGTAGAGGTTTAACGGCGCTCGCAACTGCATAAGGTCATATGAGTGCCAGAAGAATAGAGGTGTTACAAGAGAGTAACAAACATATAAAAAAGAAGTAGGGGAGATAGGGATAATAATAATAATAATAATAATAATAATAATGAGAGACAGTACTTGTATAGAGTGCAAATTCCCACTAAACAGCAAGCTCAATGTGCTTTACAATCAATATTATTACCCCAACAGACGTGAGAGCATTCTAAAACAATCTCAACTTCCTGGGATGCATACAGCAATTACAGTGCAAGCTGCCATTTTACAGGCACTAAAACACTAACATCCTGACAAGATCTTCCGTTGTCTAAGGCCGGGAATCCATTCACACCTGGGTTTTATTTTTATTTCGTAGAGGTTTTACTGCGCTCGCAACTGCATAAAGTCATATGAGCGCCAAGCGGTGGATGTCAACAGAAAAGTCTTTACAGGGAATCTGGCTCACTCTGCTCACCTCTCTAGCTTCATCAGCACAAAATCTGCTTTGACTTTCAAGGCACCCCGGAAATAGCGGACAAATGTATAAAAGAAGAAGAGAAAAATGATGACAGTAAGGATTAGGAAATAAAACGCAGCAGTTCCCTGTTGTAGTTCAGGTACAGTTATGAGCATGACATTGTTGAATCAGCCCATTTACAACTCTACTGTATGTGAGAGCGAGAAATGTCCCCCCTTTGGGAATGGCCAAAAGACACTTCTGTCAGTGGCACTGCTGGGGGGGGGGGGGGGGGAATCACACCTGGGTGAAGTGAGGAAAATTCGTGTAAAGCGCCTTCCCCAAGAACCGATTACCAGTCCAGTAGCCTGACCAGTAGACTACTGATGCAATAATAACCATAATAATAATATTAATGATAATAATAAAATAATAATAAATGGTAGCATTTATGTTGCGCATTTCCATTTTCTAAAACAAGCTCAATGTAGATCTTAAAGTTAGGACCACTCTTTTTTTAACAGGTTTTCAGATTTAAAAATTTATCGGTCAAACAGCCACAGTTAATGTAAATTAGAAAGCCAAGTTCTGGAAGGAGGAGGAGGAGGAGGAGGAGGAGGAGAAGAAGAAGAAGAAGAAGAAGATGAAGGAGAAGAAGATGAAGGAGAAGGAGAAGAAGATGAAGGAGAAGCAGAAAGAAGCAGAAGAAAGAGGAAAAAGAAACTGAAGAAGTAGAAAAAGAAAAACAAGCAAAAAAAAGCAGCAAAGCAGCTGTAGCAACAGGAGGAGGAGGGGGGAGTAGAAGAAGAAATAAGGCAGTACCATCTGAGATAGTCACTGTTTTATTAACAGATTGCTGTGGGATCAGGCCGCCAGCCATTGTAGAGTACACCTCACACTTGACAGCACAGAACTCCCCGTCGACGCTGAAGAAAAGCTCAGACTGGTGATTCATGGCGGTGCACTGGGACGCTGGCGGAGTCTGATCAGACATATCCTTGATGTCAGCCGCACGAGGCCAGGTTTGAAAACCCGGGGTCGTAAAACCCGGTATGGGACACATCTGGGCTTTCCACTCAATTCTCAAATTTTCATGACCCTGAGGAAATAGGAAAATATTTTAGTTTTAGTAGAGGTTTAACGGCGCTCGCAACTGCATAAGGTCATATGAGTGCCAGAAGAATAGAGGTGTTACAAGAGAGTAACAAACATATAAAAAAGAAGTAGGGGAGATAAGGACGATAGATGTTTCATAGGAAAGAAGAAGCAAACCACACCAGAGCACCCGCCAACCACTCACGGAAAATATTTGTGCTTTATGCTTCAGTAAGAGTTTATGTTTGTTTTAGAAAGGTTTTCGCAACTGCATAAGGGCAAATGAGCGCCAAGGGGTGGATGCCAACAAAGAAGTCCAAACACGGAATCTGGCTTACTCTGCTCACCTCTGTAGCCTCAACAGCACAAAGTCTGCTTAGACTATCAAGGCACCCAGGAAATAGCAGTTCACAGGAGAGTGACAAACATACAAAAGAAGTAGAGGAAAAATGACGATAGTAAGAATGAGGGGGAAAAAAGCAGCAACTCAACTGTGCACAAGAAAATGTTAATATCCCCCCTTTGCGAACGGCCTAAATATAATTCAGTCAGTAGCACTGCCCTAAGAGGAGGGGGGGGGGGGGGGGGGGGGGGGGGGTGTCAGTAAAAGTTTTACTGCACTTGCAACACAATTGAGTCATATAAAAATTAGAAGACTACAGGTGTTACAAGAAAGAAACACGAAAGAAAGAAGGAAAGATGCTGTTGTTGTAGTTGTTGTTACCGATCCAGGAACAGCTGGGCTCTCTCCCTTCTGTCCATCCAATGCTATGTAGTGATAAGTGCAGGTTTGCTGCAGTTGCTGTAATGTTCCATAGAGTGTGTTGTCAATGTTAGGTCTCGGAGGGAGTAGTGTAACTCAGATGTCATTTAGGGTTGTGCAGTAGAACAGGTCATGATCCAGTCTCATAAGCGTAGTCACACAAGGGACACATATGAGGAAATTCTGGAAATATTCTGTTCCAGTGGAAGTTGAGCTGTACATGTTCTGTTCGTAGGAGGAAGATGGTCCGTTTCTTTCTCTCTAGGTGGTTGATATTATCATTCCGATTTGTTGGGGTCATATGTTTGAAAACTGCTCTGCCTGTCTTTCCCAGGGCCCACCTGTTCATCCAATCTTATTTGTTGTTGCTTTTAATGATTTGTTTTGCAGTGTTGTATGTAGTTGGAATGTTGGGTCGTTCCTGTCTAGAACCCTGTTTGGCAAGAGCAAGATCATCAGCGTAGAGGAGTCTTTTCAGATTTCAGCACGTTCATTACATCATAGAAGAAGATCAGGAACAAAGAGCAACTCAGACAAGAACCTTGAGGTAGGCCTTCCTCGAGTACTTCTCTTGAGGAGTGGGCATTGTTCACCTTGGTTTCAATGTTTCGATCCGACAGGAAGAACTTGATCCATTTATATAATTTGCCATGTATCCCGAGGTCCATCATTTTCATGAGTTGGCCTTTTCTCCACACTCTGTCGTTTGCCTGTTGAAGATCTACAAAAATGGTGACAGTGTGTTTACTCTCCTGAAAACCCTTCTGGATGTTTTGACTTAGTTTAAAAATTGGTCTTCTGTGTTGCTGCCTCTTCTAAAGCCTGCTTGGTGTGGGTTCAAGCTGACAGTGCTTTCCAGGTACCAGTAGAGGTGGTTGTTTATCATTCTTTCCGCAAGCTTACAGATACATGATGTTAATGAGACAGGTTGGTAGCTTTTCGCTTCTCCAGGTCCTTTCCCATTTTTCAGGAGTGGTATAGAAACAGCTCTATGCATTTTTTCGCCATTTCTCAAGATTATGAATTGTGTTTTCTAGGAATTTAATATCATGTGAGGGCCCTTGATTTGCTTCATCTAGTGGTGTAAAAATAGTACATATAAAGACAAGATCTAGTCTAATATTAGCCATGGAACTTGTAATTCTTACCCTGGCCCTATTGAACTATTTTGGCCATGTTTACAGTTTTGTAGTGAACTCTAGATCATACCACCATGTTCGGGTTTTCCCTGTGTTACACCCTTGCGCACTGAATCAAACAGGGAAAACAACTAAGTACACAAAAGATCAGCTGTTAAACGTAAACAATCCAAGTCTGAGTGTACCATCAAATGTGCTTACTAGTTTGGCCCAGTTAGGAGTTAGAAACAGCTGTGTTTGTCAATCAAAGGTAGTAAAGAGTGACAAGAGGGGTACGAGAGGTGGGACAAGGAAACAGAGAAAAATTATGGTGTGTCAGGGGATTCCTCGTGACACTGTTTCTAAGAATAGAACTACGACTACTGTGAACAAGAAAAACCTAATACAGATAGACACTCGTAATGTATTTCAACATAACTGTCCCAACTTAAGAATTGGCTGTATTAACACCCAGTCGTGCTGCAACAAAACAAACATTGTAAGAGACGTAATTGAAGAAATGAACATCGACTTGTTGTGCATCACAGAAACTTGGCTTCGAACAGAAGGCGATGAATCTATCATAGCCGACCTTCTACCACCCGGCTTTGAACTTAAATCTTTTTCACGCGGATCACGTGGTGGCGGAATTGCTTTTATTCATCGGCGAGGTTTACCAGTAAAGTTCATCTGCGGTGGTCCATCGTATCGCACATTTCAATCAGCCACTGCTTTCATCAGATCAGAGCAACTTACCTTCCGTGTGACATGTATCTATCGACCGCCACCTAACAAGAAAAATAAATTTACAAGTAAAGAATTCTTCATAGAATTCCAAGATCTACTCTTTCAACTAGAGCAAGCTGCCTCCCCCTTTTACATCATAGGGGATTTCAACTTTCACTTTGATGTTCCATCTGTTCCAGACACCAAACGCCTTGTTTCAATTCTTGATGATCATAATCTACAGCAGCTAATCAAAGAGCCGACACATCGTAGTGGTCACATTTTGGACCTGCTAATTACCAACACTGCTGACCAACATGTTCTTAAACATCAGGTTTTAGATAAGGCTATCTCTGACCATTCTCTTCTGATAGCTAACATTAACATCTCCAAACCAAAACACGTAAGAAGAAGCATACTTTCAAGGAACACGAGAACAATAGACACACAGGCACTTCGGGACGACGTGAGCAAAACACTGACAAGTCTATCCTCCCTAGATGCAGACACATTTCATGACACTCTCAAAGCGGCAATCGACCAACATGCGCCAATGGTAAAAAGAAACATTTCTTCGAGACCCTTTTCTCCTTGGTTTTCACTTGAAATCAAAGAGGCCAAGAAACATCGACGTCAGGCAGAACGCAGGTGGAGGAAATCAAAACTTCAAGTTCACAGAGACATCTTTATTAACCACCGAGACAAAGTCAACTCAATCATCGAAAATAACAAGAAAAGATACTATCTACATGAATTACAAGATGTTAAATCACCCAAACAACTCGTTCAGACTACCAATGCTATTCTGGGAAAAGAAACAATATCTCCTCTCCCCTCTGCAACATCAGATGACGAACTTTGTAGTTTATTTGTGACTTTTTTCAATGACAAAATTAATACCATACGCTCTTCTCTCGACCTAGAGCCAAATGGAAATTTGGAATTTTCAGAATTTACTGGACAAATATTAGATTCTTTTAGTCCAGTTACAAGTAGTGATATTTTAAATTGTATTAATGGGTCAACCATAAAAACATGCGACCTTGACCCAATGCCTGCTCATGTATTCAAAACCTGTATTGATATTGTCCTACCTCACATTACTCAGATAGTGAATATGTCACTTGCCACTGGCACAGTACCTAATACTTTCAAACAAGCTATTGTAAAACCTTTATTGAAAAAACCCGGGCTTGATAAAAATGAATTTAAAAACTATCGACCAGTTTCGAATTTGCAATTTGTCTCAAAAATTCTAGAGAAGATTGTTTTAAGTCAAGTTTTGTCTCACATGAGAAAAAATGGTCTTGAGGAAATTTACCAATCTGCCTATAAAACTCATCATAGTACCGAAACTGCGCTTTTAAAAGTAACGTCTGATTTATTGGATTCCATTGATAGCAAAAACATCTGTCTTTTAACTCTTTTGGATCTGTCCGCAGCTTTTGACACAATTGACCATGCTATTCTACTCACAAGACTTGAGCGCTCATTTGGCTTATCGGGTACTGTGCTTTCATGGTTTAAGTCATATTTACTAGAAAGAGTTCAGTCAGTGCAAATTAAAAATAGCTTTTCAAAGCAGGTCAGGCTCGATTATGGAGTTCCACAGGGGTCCGTTCTTGGACCAGTGCTCTTTACACTATATACACAGCCCTTAGCAAGCATTTTACAAAATCATGGATTGAATTATCATTTTTATGCCGATGATTCCCAAATGTATGTTAATGGCACCATTCAAGATCTACCAAACATGATTTCCATCACTAAACAATGTTTTTATGAAATCAAAAAGTGGATGACAGTAAACAAATTGAAACTAAACGAAGAAAAGACAGACATCATTCTTATAAAAAATCCACGATTAAATAAAGATCTGGAAAGTGTCAACTTTGATTTATATGGGCATATGACATCTAGTAAAGAAGTTGTCAGGAATCTCGGTGTATATATTGACCACCACTTATCAATGGGCTCGTTTGTAGGATCTCTGTCCAAATCCCTTTATTTTCAGCTGAGAAGGATAGGCCTAGTTCGAAAGTACTTAAGCGAAGAGACCACAAAAACACTGGTAACATCTCTTATCCTATCTAGATTAGACTATTGTAACTCACTCCTAGCAGGTCTGAACAACAAATATTTGAATCGTTTACAAGTAATTCAAAACAATGCCGCTAGACTGATAACAAGATCTAAAAAACGAGACCATGTCACTCCATTATTAAAAGAACTGCATTGGCTCCCTGTAAAAGAACGAATAATATTTAAAATCTGCGTCATGTGTTTCAAATGTGTAAATAAAACTGCTCCTTTTTATCTGCAAGAACTTATCAGTATATATAAACCAGGGAGAAACCTAAGATCATCGAACGATAACACCCTACTTGTGACACCTGTAAAATCATACAAATCATATGGAGAGAGATCTTTCTCATATCTTGGTCCATTTATGTGGAACAGATTACCCATGAAACTAAGACAAATAAGAACACTTGATAGCTTCAAAAGACATCTTAAACATTTTCTGTTCCTACAGGCCTATCCTTCATAAGCTTTTAACGTTAGCTTTCATTATATTTGTTCTTTTCCTATGTCTGGATGAAAATAGTCTGTGTGTGTGTGTGTGTGTGTGTGTGTGTGTGTGTGTGTGTGTGTGTGTGTATGTGTGTGTGTGTGTGTGCATTAATGTATATTGCGTGAGAAGAAAGGAAGTAGTAAGAAAGGTTTTTGAAAAATGGGTATTCCAATGTAAAGCGCATTGAGCTACTTTTTTTGGAAATGCGCTCTATAAATGTTATATATTATTATTATTATTATTATAATCTGGGCAATCCTCCATGCCTTTGGTATTCCACTTGTTCTCCACATGATATTTATTTAGGGAAAGGAAAACTTCTTTTCCTTTAGCACCAAGGTTGCACAGCATTTCGTTGTGTATTTTGTCCGGTCCTGGGGCTTTCTTTTTCTGTAGCTTTGTGAGGGCCTGACTGAGTCCCATCATGCTATAATCCTCTTCAAAAAGCGAGTTGTTCACAGAAGGGTTTTTATTCTTTAAGCTTAGCCCTGTTTATGAGGAGTTTGTCGGCCTCGGTTAGTCTGCTTGCCCTGTTTACAGAGGCGAAATACCGGTTAAAATGTTCAGCTTTCTTCAGGTCTTCAGTGATGGTGCTGCCCGAAAGGAAAAAAGGTTTGGGGTTGCTTTTCTGTCTTTCTCCTGACAGGTTGCTGACAAGGGACCAAGCCATTGTTCCATTGTGGCGAAGGTCAAGATCTTTTCAGGTTTGAGTCCATTTCTCTTTTTTGGCTTTTTTAAACTGTCACTTTCACCTGAGCACAGGTCTTGTAGAGTATTATGGTTGGTGATGGTGATCTTTTCAATGACTGTCTGGCCTTTTCTCTCTTTCTGCCACAGCAGTCTGGATTTCTTCCCTCCAAAAAGGATAGAAATTTCTACGGTATCTCCGTGGAATGTGCTGAGATGCAGCTTTAAGAACATTTTTGGAAACCTGTTCATTAAAAACATCAGCATCTTCTATTTTTGCTATGCTAGAGAGCAATTTGTCAGAGGTCTTTTCATATTCTGTCCAGTTGGCTTTCTTAAAGTTCCATTGAGTCCTCTGAGGGTGGTTCAATGCAGGTGGGGAGGTGATCTGTATAAAGATAAGTCTGTGATCACTTCCTAGGTCAATGTCATCAATCACTTCGATGCAACAAGGAGTTTTTAATGTCGGAAGAGCAGATGGTGAGATCAGGCCGGCTGAGAGTCGAGTGGGCTCTGTGAAGTAAGGTAGGAGTTGAGTTGACATCTGGTAATACAGATAGGTTGCTGGTTTCGCAGAGCTCCCAGATCTCTTGGCCTGTGCTGTTATAGTTGATGTAGCGCCATTCAGGAGAGTGGACATAGAAGTCACCCGCACAAATGGTTTTCTCATAGTAGGCTGCTTGTAGATCAGACAAGTCGCATGTTGTCTGTGGGGGGGCTGTAAACATTGTAAAGTGTGTACTTCCAGCCAATGTGCCATATGGTGGCCTTCTGGATATCTGTCGGATATTTTAGTTTAGTATGGGATTTTACAGCGCTCGCAACTGCATAAGTTCATATGACTGTGCAAAACACAAGTTGGTTGCATTCGCAACAGTTCACTGCACGGCTGGTCAACTTTAAAATGTTAAAATATTAAAATTTGGTGAAAATATATTTTCAAATATAAAACAACTCTTTAAAATAACATAACATTTTTAACAATTTTATTTCACTTTATAATTTCCAATAAAGGCCAATGGCCTTGATAAGATCCAAAATTCTGTTGGGAGCAATGTTGGAAAAAATATTTTGCAATTTTTTGCATTTAATTTAAAATATTTCCTACGGGTCTCTACGAAGTCTCGACATTCCGTTAAAATGTGTCTAATGGTAAAATCTGTGTCGCATCGGACACAGAACGGCTTCTCATCTCCCTGAAGGAGGTGTTTGTGAGTTAGGGCATTGTTTGTCCCATGCGTAATCAAGTAAAAATGACTTTCGTCTCTTCTGGAGAGGCCTGAAGGATTTCGCGGTCCCAGTCTGGGTTTAATGTTGTGAAGTTTATTATTTATTTGTTTTTTTCCAGTAGGTCTCCCAGGGACTGGAGGTGTACTTTTTAAGTTTATTTTTTACGTCAGTCTGTGGGAGAGTGTTCGTCGTTGATCCCAATAGAAAGGATAAGGATTCCTTCGCCAGGTTATCTACCTGTTCGTTTCCTCGGATGCCCACATGGCTAGGTATCCATGCGAACACGATATTTTTCCTGGTTTCAGTCAAGGCGAGTTTTTTTGTTGTTGTAGCCTAACTATTTTTGGGTATATGAACGTGTAGTTTGTAAGCGAGGTGATGAAAGACAGAGAGTCAGAAAGGATAAGGAAAGATTTGTTAAGAAAATTTTCTACCGAGTCCAGTGCCATGTCAATGGCAGTGGCCTCCGCAGAGAAAAGGAGGCTTCCGGATGGAGTCTCCTCTGTTTGAAGATATGGCTGCAGCACCGACACCAGAGTCCGATTTGGAGCCATCTGTGAAGATAAGCTCTGCACCAGGGTATTTTTTGTATTCTGTTTTAAATGTTTCGGAGTTTGTGTTTGCTTTGTCGTGTGTGGTCAGATGTAAGTCTACTTTTGCCTTGGTGAGGTGCCCCGGAGGGAGGTCGGGGAAAACAAATTATTGAATGTCTTTTTTGGAAAAGTGTTTGTTTTTGAGATCCGCAAGGATTCCGAGGCCGAAGAGTTTGATGAGTTTTTCATTGTTTTGGAATTTGTTTATGGTGTCTGGGTTTGTTTTGAAAATGCAGTCGTGTGCTGGGTTCTCTGGTGTTGAGCTCTGTTTAATTGCGTATTGTAGGGAGAGTTGTGTGCGTCTGAGTGTGAGTGATGGTACATTTGCCTCAGCCTTGAGGCTCTCCACCGGAGAAGCGCGGAAAGCCCCCAGAGCGAGGCAGAGTCCTTGGTTTTGCACTGGGTCTCGCATTTTTAGGATGTGTGGTTTTGCCGATCTGTGGACTTGACAGCCGTAGTCAAGCCTGGACCGGACAAGGGAGATGTACAAGTGGAGAAGGTGTTTTGGGTCCCCGCCCTACTCCGGTTGCGATAGAATTTTCAAAGCATTAAAAGCTTTCTGGCACCTCAAACGAAGGTCTTTGAAGTGTGGAATGAATGTGAGTTTTTTGTCAGGTCCCAGTTACGGAAAATGACGGAGCAAATCAAAATTACAGATTTCTGTAAATTTACGAAAAAATTCTCAGCCCTGAATCTTGTCTCAGGAATTCTTAAAAGACCCCTGATACCCTAATGACATAAAAAATAAGAATTCACTTACCATAACTCTGCATGTGAAAGTGATGTTAACACCTTCGACGTATTCAAACTCATCAGGTAGTGCCAAAAATGCCATGTCTTGCACTTTAGCTAGAAAGAGAAGAAAAAGCAACCAGAATTCAAACCATTACAGTCAGTTCAGTCACTCTCCAGATTCTTGTGCTAAGTTTTCATAATTTTTTTTTCAAGAGTGTTCAACTCCAACCACCAGCCTCTGTCGTGTGGTGGTCAAGCATTCGCTGTCCCATGCAGTAGACCAGAGTTTTATTCCTGCAAGAGGAATATCTTCATTGAGTATTTTCGTCTTTCTGCAGGGATGTTGCATCCCCTGACAGGCATGGTCAAAGCTTCCCAACAAAACGATCTAAATTTTGTCAATGGTGTGCAAAATACTTACATTTTATTTTTAAAATATTTTTTTAACCCACCAGATGTAAAGTGGACACCTCCAACGCCGGGTTTACAAAATGGGGAGCCAGTTTTTATGATCCTTTTTTTCTACTTTCGCAATAGAAAAACTTCAGCCGAGAAACAGGAATAAAAATAATGACAGCTAACACATTCATTCTTAGTTTTTGTGTCGGAAATATGCGCGGACACAATTATGAATGTAAAGAAATCAG